CTGGCCTCGAACTCACAGAGATCCGCCTGGCTCTGCCTCCCGAGTGCTGGGATTAAAGGCTGCACCACCACTGCCCGGCTCTTCCTGATTTCTTACGTGTGTGTGTGTGTGTGTGTGTGTGTGTGTGTGTGTGTTTCCATCATAAAAGGATGGAAATTCTGTTAAATGCCTTTTCTACATTCATGGAGATGAACGTGCAGTTTTTATTCCTCTTCCCATTCTGATGGCTAATCTTGGTTGTCAACTTGACCACATCTGAATCACCTAAAACCCTAGCAGCTGGGCACATCTGTGAGGGATTTTCTTGACTGGGTCATTTGAGGTGAGAAGACCCACTCTATCTGGACTTGGTGTCCAGATAACACTCATCAAAAAAGATGAGTTCAGCTGTTCCTTTCAGCATGAGCTTGAGAAGGGCCAGGGCTCATTCTCTAGACACTGGACATCGTTCACCAGTAAAGCCACTTGGCCCAGAGCCTTTCTCTGGTGGGGGAGTTTTGATTACTGGGTCCACCTTCCGAGCAACTTTATTATGTTTAGATTCTCTATTTCCTTGTGATTCAGTCCTGGGGTATGATGTGATTTTAGACACCTGTCCATTTCTTCTAGCTTATCCAGCTTGTTGGCATATAGTTGAATATAGAAATCTTTTATATCTTAATTACTTGATACCCATTATAGTGCATTTTTTTGTATGTATCTTAGCTAAAAGTTTATCAGTTTTCTTAATACTTAAAAAAAAAATCTTGTTCGCGGCCTTATGTCATTTAATTCTGCATTGCTGTGACCTTGGCTGTGGTTTTCCTCACCTGCAGGAGTCTGCTACAGCTACACGTTTGTCCTACTGAGCTGAACTGAAAAGGGCAGAGAGAGGCTGTCCTCCACATCCTGTTCCAGCGTGGCTTCCCAAGGCTCTAACCACACCACTTGTTCTGGCTGTGTGGCTCAAGGAAAAGTAAACCCTTAGCCTTGACCTCTGCTGAATACTATGTGCAGATGAGAACTGGGATGTACAATGATAACACAGTCATACCTTGCCTTCGGGATCCACCAAGAGGAGGTGCTTTGCCTGGCCACCTTGTAGTCCGCTCAGCACATACTGGCCAGGAGATGTTATACTCTCTCGAACCAGGAAGTCCCCGTCCTTCACCAGCAGCCTCTCGGCTGCCCACCTGCTCAGCCTGCCATGGAAGCATTCCTCATTCCACAGCTGCTGCTTGATGTGTGGCAGAGAGTGTGAGCTCACAGGCTGGGCGGTGGCTCCGGGCTGCACAGTTTCTGGTGCCTCTAAAACCAAAACACAAAAGAGATACCACAAAGTATCTCCTCATCAGTCCATTCATCCTTCCGTGTTCAGGCCCTGTTTAAACAACACCGCAGGACAAATGTCCTGCCTGGCAGGCCCTAAGTTAGAGGTGAATTTAAACACTGTCATTGGCTTCTGTCACTAGGAGAGGTGACCAGGCACAAGAGTGAACACAGTGTTATTGTGGACCGTGGTGACGATAATTACTGTGTGGTTCTCATTTATTATAACAGGCTCTTGTAAGGGCTTTACACAGTTCATGTTATTTTATTTTCACAATTAGACAGGCCTCCAAATTAGATTTTAAGAAAGGGTAAGTTACTTATTCAAAGCCACTCTGTTAATGTTGTAGATCTGGGATCTGAAACAAGGACCATCTGACTCCAAAGCTTGGGCTTTTTAGTCCACAAACTCCAAGGCACTGGCGCTGGATGTAAAAACTTTCCATTTTCCAAATTTGTCTAGCTGCTCTATCTCTGTAATGCCCATGAAGGTCGATGGGAGATGGCAATGGTGTCAGGGTGATACACAGCATCTCCTAGACACAGCACACTCAGGAGGCTGAGACAGGAAGATTGCTGAGAATGTAAGTCTAGCCTGGGCTACACAGCAAGTTTGAGACAAGCCTATAACTCAATGAGATCTTTCCTCAAAGCAAAGTAAATGGCTCAGAGGTTAAGAGCACTGGCTGCTCTTGCCCAGGACCCTGAGTTCAGTTCCTATGACCCACAGGCTGGCACACAACTACCTAGAACTCTTAATTCCAAGGGATCTGGCTTCCTCTTCTGGCCACCATGGGCACTACATGCATGTGATGTACTTGGCGGGGCAGGGCTCGACAACACACGACTCAAACACTCACATGTATGTGTATGTGTATGTGTATGTGTATATGTATGTACATATATATCATGAAAATAAATAAATCTTTTTTAAATCCACCAAAATAGTCAACTATCAATTTTTTATGATTGAATTTTGGTAAAAGTCATATATTTAATGACAAATTAACACAAAATGAACCACAGAAACCAACACTGTGTTTTGCGATGCAAAGGCACTTTTGCCTAGAAACCAGTCTTCACTAACACAAAGGAGCATTCCCAGGCCCTTATGGAAGGGTCTCACCAAGAGAAATGCACTGGACTCAAACTGTGGAACTTATATCCCACCATGCTGTGACGTCACTGGTATCGACAACCCGCAGTACCCTATAGACAGCCCAAGTCCCCTGTCAGTACGCTGGATCCCTGCCCTACTTAAGAATGTCTGTGCACATGATAATTATAGTTAGCACCATGAACATATCTTGTAAAAAAATCTTCAGTCTAAAAGCTAATGGTTGGCAAGAATGCTCCCCCACAAATCACCATCTCTTCCGCCGTTGCCAGAACGGGCCTGAGGAAATGTGTCCAGACAGTGACTAATACTTGTAGTTGGCCTTGGTGCTGCCTGTTCTTGGATACAGTGGAAACCGTCTAACGAGCAGTCCTGTGTGTGTTTGTGTCCGGGACGGGCGCCACAGAGTGCAGAGCGATGCATGCAGGCATGCATCATGTCGGGGGCATGCTCCGCACAAGTGTGAGGCTATGCATTGTGAGGCATGCATTGTGAGGGTGCAGGCGGCTTAGTGTGATGCATGCTTTTGGCTTGTTCTGAGATTATGAGCGGCTTTTGGACGAGGACAAAACAGAAGAAAACAGACATTATATCATCTTGAAAAGAGTCAACAGTCATGGGCCAGCCTGGGAATGCAGACAGCGTTTTCTAACACAGGTTCCCAGATTAGGACAAGACACAGCGCACTGAGCAATTTCAAATGTTCTCTTAGCATCAAATTCTGTTAGAAGCAAACTATGTGATAGATTTTCCAATTCGTTTTAACTTGAAAAGTTATATATGTTCATTTGTTTTAGTTTGGGAAATGAAAACAAAGAAAAAGTCAACCATGGTCTCATCACCAACTGTCACAGCTCAGTGCTGTGGCATGTCACTCAATACCTTGGTTCTGTGTGATAACTGATGCTAAGTGAACTGCATGCTTATGGTATGCAGCACACAAGCACACTTATTCTAAAACAGAAGGGCGGGTTCAGAGGGGAGTGCTCATTTTTTAAAGACGGGCAGAGGGGTAAGTAGTAGGTCCTTAGTAATTCATCAGCATGGAGAGTAATCAGAGGGAACTGTTGAGATCTGGAGTGCTAGGTACAGCCATCGGGGCTTGGAAAGAGGGTTTTTCATTTCTCAATTACCCCCAGTCTTTATCATTTGCATTCTGTGAGTATCTACATTACTTTTGAATTTTTAAAATGTCTAATAAAATGCATGCAAAAGTGAGGACAGTCCCGTAACTCAGGATACAACTGGAAGGCGCAAACTTTGAGGAGACTGTCAAGTTTGAGGTGAAATTTTCTATTTTCTAAAACTCCCCCATTGTCCTCTCAGCACATGGCCTCGTGTCCTGTCGCAGAGGACCGAGAGTGTGGTCAGTTCTGGCCATGTGTAGTCATTATGCTTCAGAAAGTTGCTGTGATGTTAAATTCATGAAAACAAACCATCACTCCTACAGGAAACGCAGGGTCTCCTTCCCAACAAGCCTCAGGCCACAACAGTCTCTTCAGTTAACCCACAGTCTTATTTGATGTGAGTTTTGGATTAAAGATACTGGGTGTAGCATATTTTGTTAACACTGAACTCACAGCCATGGCACTATAATTCATACTTGATTGATGTTTTTATAAACCTGTCTTTTCTCATGAGGGCACTTCACAGTTTTCTTTCACTTAGAAACACTACACATCACTTTAGTACCAATGCTTGAGGACGATTTTAAACAGCGAAATCATCAAGAAAAATGGCACAAAAAATGTGGGAGGGGGGGCGGGGGAATTGGCATTAAATGTACCACAAAAGGACACTTGAGGTTTCTGTTTGTTTGTTTGGTCTTCATTTTGTGAGACAATTTGACTGGGTAGTCCAGACTGTCCCCAAACTCACTAAGTAAGCCAGTGTGGAGATCCACAGAGGTTATCTAGTGAGAATTTACTCAAGGTCAGAGAATCTGAGCTTGCTTTACCCGGCAGGGCTGCATAATGGGATGATATGGTAACTAGGGGCGTGGTTACCAGGTGTTTGGAAGGGTCTACACTTGTGTACTTTGTGCTTTGATCTTGCAAGGAGGAGGTCTTTTGCCTCTCCCCTTGGCATATTATAAAAAGCCCTTTTGAATAAATCTCTGTGTTACTGGGTATTGACCCAGGGCCCTTCCGAAGCATCCTGTGTCTCTGTCTTTCTTATCGTCTCTTTTTACCTTTCTACCTAATATTTCCTCATTCCTCTCTCCTCCACCCAAGAACCCTTCAACAGGTCGGAGCTAGACTCTGACCGACTCCCACAAGCCAGTTTGGTCTTGAACTCTGTGATCTCTGGCTCGGCCTCCCAGGTGTTGAAACTGTAGGTGTGCACACCACTACACTTGGCACTTAGAGCGTGAAAACCAAAATGAGGTAGAGCTTTCCCTTGCTGACGTCAGTCAGAAACATGTACGTAGAAAGAGGGAGAGTCCTTGTGGCTCTCCGTAGGTCCACAAATCACAACAACCAAGGCATCCTGAGTATTGATTTGAGGGTATGACTAAATCATGCTGAGCAAGCCACTTCTCAACTGTAAACCTGTAAATACTGAGAACTGAGACAAGATTGTATGATGGGAATTTACCTGTATTGCTGGAAGTAAGAATACACCTCCATCAAGTGCCTGAAAATTGGTTAGAAAATTCTGACAAAAAAAAAAA